ACCACAGTCAGCTTTGAACTTTCTTCAAAGTAGCTAGAAAAAGGCTTATGCAAATGAAATTAGAAAACTTCTTGGCAATTCATCTGGTTTCACCAGGCAGAGACGAAGGGATTTTACATTAAGCTTCCTCTTTCTAGAAAATGAAAGTATCATCTGGTTTCAGAAAAGCATGTTGTTTAATTAGCACTTTTTTCCCTCACTGTGCGATAAAGTAACAATTAGGTTCCCACAGCATTCAACATAAGCAGCTTCCTCTTGTGGAAAAAAGATGTGGGTGGTATGGGAAAAACAATCTGAGAAATATTTCCAGGTTTGAGACTGAGCTTTTATCCTGGCAAAAAAGACAGACACGTGGGTCATGCATTGGCCTACTCGCTGCTCTTATTTACGCCAAATGTGTACTAGGCACGAACAGTGGAGGGAAAAAAAGAAAAGGGGAGAAAAAAAAAGGTTATGGCTTTAAGCAGATAGTATAATGACGGACTAGAAAGTAGCCTATATGAAAATGAGTGGAGAAGCACAACTACTGGCTTGCCGGTTTGAGGGAATGCTTGAGCTGGAGATATAGGCGAAGTGATTTGTTTGAATGTATCCTGTAAGAAACATGTTTGATAGGAGATGGGAATCACAGCAAGTAGCTCATCTCAGAGGTGGGACTCTTGGTGTCCAAAAGCCCATTAATTTTGCTGCTTCATAATGGAAATGTAGAAATGGTGCTGGTAGGAGGGCAGTCGAGGAGGACAGTTATAAAAGTTTTCCCTTCTCCTTCACACCTCCCAGCCTTTATCTCTTGATTTTCACCTTTCAAAGAAGTTCAGCAGTATCAATCCTGGCCTTCCCCAATGTTGCTGTGGAACTGAACGGTTAACTCTCCGATTATTAGGAGCAGCTCCCAACCGTATTGTTTAATTTTACCTGGATCTTTTGATACAGCAACTTCTTCCCAAATAAAATTATGACCTGAGTTGAAACAGAGGAAATCATCAACAAAACAGTGGCAAATGTCAGCAGCAGCAATTGGAGGTGCTGTGCACTGCAAGAAGGGTTCAAATCATCATCTTTGTTACATCACTTCCAGAAAAATCACAAGAACTGCCAGTAGGATTTTTGTTTATGCATTTACTTGGGGCATGCATATGGATGCAGTGTAGATCACAGGGTATTTACATATGAAACATTCACCAAGTGGACCATTACTTTTTGCCTTCATGCTTGCTCACACACACACCGTACGTGTGTGTACATATACACACATAGAGCGGAGATTCACGTCTGATCTTAGTCGTAAAGTCTCCTCTCTCAGCTATATAACCAACTCAGGTTGAGTTATAGCTCAGGACCCACTCTGGAGAGATGCTATTGTTATGAAAGAAAGGAGACTCTTGTCTGCCAGATCACTGCTTCACTGACCATCAAAGCTGAACAATAAACGCTGATGGAAGTTAGGAAACAGAAAGAGCCTCAGCTATGGCAGCTGGATGTCACTTTAGAGAAGGAACCTATAGCCCTGCAGATACCCCAATGTCCCTAAAGAGTGCTGCGCAAGACACTGGAACAAACCCTTCAAATGTGATTACCAGTGTTTCTTCCCTTGAGATTACAGTCAGATTTGCCCAACTGCCTTGGCACTGAAGACAGAAAGTACTCCGAGTGCAAACTGTTCTGGAAATCAAACCACACCCACATTTCAGATCCAAGGTCCCTGAAACTGGCACCCAAAATCAGTGCTTCTGTTGATTTCATTTCATGCCTGAATTCCTTTCTGTAAAACAGAGGTAATAATGCTCCGTGTCACTGGGCTGTAATGACAGCAAACTAATTTTGATGAAGTACATAACCAGTGGAAGACAATACTTCTGCCCTCAGGACAGCGCTCAAATACTGTGTGTTAAATTGTATTCTCCATCTTAAAGAGATGTATTCTCCATCTCTCAAAGAGACAGTGGTGCTAGGATGTGATCTTGTTAAGGAAGACTAACACTATGCATAAATTCCCAAAAATGCCCTCAGGAAAACTTCCTTCTGGCATTTCCTAACTTCACAGCCTAAATAATGGGTTTTTTAAACATGGTTTTGTATGTGCGCTTGATGAAATTCAATAATGACTGCATCATATGGCCTCTTTGAGACCCCATTAGTGTCATGAGTGAAGTGGGATCCTTTAAATCCACTGCACTGCCAAGCAAGTGGAACAAAAAATAGAAGATAATGACCTACAAATACGGCTACATGACAGCACTGAAGGGAGAGCGTGGCAGCAGGCATCTCAGAGGACAGATGAGACTGGAGTCCTTGGACCTCCAATTCAGGGACTGGAGGGGCGATGGCTCTAGTGAGTCCAGACACTTCCATACAAATTGGACCCCTTCCACTGTCTTACCTGACGTTCTTCTAACTCCCTCTCTTTCTCATCTAGTTTGGAGCAAGAGTGCCTTGGGGCAACTTAACTTCTTGACTAGACTCTTCTGGAAAGAGGCCACAGAGGCCTCTCCTTGGATACACTTACATACACCCTGTACGCTAAAGTAGTACACTAGCAGTACACTAAATACTATCACCCAGCCACGCAGAGTAGAGTACTGCACTGAGCACATGGGACTTTCCACAGAAAGTATTGTGAAACCAGTATTGTGAGAGTTTAAGGTTCTTTGTAGCACTAAAACATGTTTTGGCACAGAAAAGAAATTTAGATTGCATGATCAAGACGCATGAGACTTCACAAGAACTGTGCTACTGATTTAGGAATAACTGAGCATTACTCTGTGCAATTACAGTGGGGAAAAAAGGCTGTTGCTTTAAGATTTCAGGCCCTTTGCTCCCAAATACATGTAACTTTGTTATTAAATCTTTTTCCTTTTATTTTGTCAGGAAAGCTAAGCTTCTTTTGGAGTTTGGCTGAGAGAAAGATCTCAAGCCTACATCTTTGTAGCAAGGGTGTATTAGCAAACACTTGAATATGTCCCTGAAGAAGCTGAGCATTACCAGCACACTAACTTGCTCAAGTTAGAGGTATTCAGTCCAAATGCTGAATACCAATTTTAAAAATAAATTTTAAACAATCCAGTTCTTTATGTGAGGACAAAGTTCAGATGCTAACCCTGGCCAAAAGCCCCCAAGGCTTTCAACTGAGCGTTTTGCACCGAACAAAGAACTTGCAGATGACGACAAACAGACAAAATGCCCAATGGACAGATACATGAGAGAACACTGAATTTAGGTCAGTTATGCGGGGAAAAAGAAACTTAACTTCGGCTTTAGAGCAGCTGTCAGGCTTTGGTTGTGGTTTTTTTTGGGGGGGGGAGTTGGGGGGTGTTCTGTTTTGTTTTTTTTTAAAAGAAAGATTGCCCAAGAATTTAAAAATAAACAAAATGGGAACTCCACTTCTGCAAACAAGAACATCACAAAAGTAAGCATGTTGCAATGTAGACTCGCTGTGAGGAACGCAAAACGATGGCTGCTAGGAGACTTTAAAAAGATGCTTGTCAAAGACTTTGGGACAGAGGGAAGAAGTGAAAGAGGAGAGCACAAGCTGAGACTTCACAAGATGTTTAGCAACAACAAAAGCCAAGCCAAGGGGGGAAGTTCCTCCTTTCCCAACAAATAAAAGCACTATACATTGCAGAACAGTTCTCAGATCTAATTCTCTGAATTGTCTGAACTGGCTGTCTGTACTTCAAAAGCCAAGGAATTAGGGTTCTCAGCACAAGAGTACAGATATGTTCATGCTGTGTTCAAGGGCTCAAACACCACTTAACAGAAGACCCTGCTTATTATACTAGATAAAAGCAGTGAAGAGTTCAATCAGCTCCTGATTACCTAGAGAAACAGGGGGCTCAGGAAGTAAGGCATAAACATATACATATGCTATGTTCTAAGAATACACAAAGTTGTTCTGGAGAAAAGGAGAGAAAAGAAAGAGCAGGATGCTATTAATGATGGAGCACAGAGATTCCCAACAGATCAGTCCACACAGCCCAGTGCCATCCAGACATCCAATACACAGAAGCAGCACACACAAAAGAGAGTATGTCAGCTCTGCTGTCAGGCCCTACTGACTCAGCAGACTGTATATGATCCAGGCTGAAGAAACCACCACCTGGATGTTATTTTATACATCTGTAGCCAGTGCCTCGGGTCTTTTTCTTTTTAAGGCTATTTCTCCAACAGCTTTCCAAGGAACTTATCTGATATATGAATGCCTGTGTGGATGTTTACTCGCAAGTCCTACTGGGCTTAAGCTGGCTCATGCTGAGAGTAGTAAGATGCATTAGCATCCATCAGGTGGTTAAATTCAAGCGAGAGGTCAATCCTGAAAAATCAAAAGCTAGCTGACTAAGGATTTCAGTCTTCTGCTAAAGCCACAGTGAGTAGTGTATGCCAGGATCTGTTGTTTCTACTTGAGATTTCAGTGCAGGTTTCAAGGAGCTCTTTACAGAGCACACCAAAGGACACACTGCAAAAATACTGCTCAGATTCACTAGAGAGATGCTGAAGGTTTTGAAGGGGAGAGTGCCACTTTCATTAGCACCAATCAAGCATATTTACACATTTCCTGGCAATACAGCAACTGTGCACCCTCCCATTCAGATGGGGGCTGTGTTCGCACCTATTATCTTCCCTTCCAAATCCCCTCTGTGGCCTTACCTCTGCTGAGCAAACCTTGATCCTTGGGAAGTCCCTGTGCAACCTCTACCTGGCTCACACAGGGTGAGAGGAGCTGCAACCTCAGTTGAGGGCAGGGAGCACAGCTCAGGGAGGAGGAGGAAGTTCTGGCACCAGTCCCACATAGACATTTGGAGTACCCACCTGCATGATGTCTTGGAGGCTTTCGGTGAAGGACAGCTCAGCCTCCACCATATAGAACTCCGCCAGGTGCCGGCGACTCTGCGAGTTTTCCGCTCGAAACGTTGGGCCGAAGGTGAACACGTGGGTAAAAGCCCTGCAGGGCAACAAGAAACAGGTAGGTCAGGCCCAGCACACAAGCGAGTCTGTTATATTGAAAGCCCCATCCACAAGCTCACTTTTCTCCCAGGACCTAGAAGCACTCATGTTTCCATTTCATCTTTAACTAGTTTAATGGCACTGTTGGGTATGCTGCTATTACAGTGCTTCAGCCAGGCATTAAGAGGGGTTATTCACACCTCTCCGTGACTCAGCGAGGTTACACAAACCCTATTCAGCTTTCACTGAACACCATTCATGCTCAGGACACTTTTTGCAGCTGTGTGGCAATTAAAAAAAAAAAGACATTCTGCAGAACCAGATCACTGGAGAAGCACCCAAACACCGCTCCCCTCGTCCACATCCCTTCACGTTTGTTTGGCTGCAAGGTCTGACCTTTATGGGTGCTGTGACACCCCAGAGACTAACAGAGCAGAGACGGTCCTGCTGCTGGAGTTGCTGGGCTGGCGAAAGCACTGCGAGGGGGCTGGTGAAGCCCAGCAGGATGGATGGACAGTGTACAGCTTGCAGTCCCCCTCTAGTGGCAAGACCAAAGTTTATCGAGATAATGAACTGGGCTCCTTCCACACAGCTAAAAACGGTTCAGCTAAAAGGGGTCCCCACTGCAGGGAACACACCTGGAATATCATTTTATGCTGAAGCTTCCTATTATGAAGCTGTTTCTCCAGCAGCCTTCTGGGCAGTCTATTTAAATACATCCTCTCTTGTTCTGCAGTCACATCATGCTGTGTTACACAGGATACAAAAGCCTTCTTGATTCTCCGCTTCCTTTGTAAGAAACCTTCCTATCAAACAGCAACACACCTTTAAAAGTTTTATTTTTACCGTGGGGAAGCTGCACTCCAAGCGATACCTTTTACACTGTGAGCTACGAGCACTTGGGCTCCTGGACATCCTCAAGCCAGCAAGAGCTTCCCAAACAGATGCCATGATAGCTGTGTTTCCTCCCATGCTGCATGGGAAGCAAACCACGATCGGGGAGAGAGCAAGCTGCTACAGAAAAACCATGGACTGGGCAGCTGCTATCTTTAACTTGACATTATTTTTAGCTGTAGACAGCGTGTAGGAGAAAAAGAACCTGATCAGTAGAGATTAAGCACAGTTTAACACTCATGAAAGGATGCGTGCTAATTGCTGGGGTTGGCATTTGACTTGCATCTTGCTCTGCAAGCTTTCAACTTAAAGAGGATGTTCGCTCAAGTTTCTGCACAGACTAATTTTGTTAAACTGAAGTTTAAATAAATGCTACAAAAAGCAGCGTTTCTCCTTTGCCCCTTACAGAGGCATCTGCACGGCAAATAAAGGAACACACACATTCTGCTTCACTCATCTGTTCCTTCATGCCACATGACGGTTAAAAGGTTATGATCCAAAGAAACAGCACTTTCTTTTTCCTGGAGTTGCAAGTAGTAAGCACACCAGAAGAAAGTTCCAGGTCAAGACTCTGAATACATAGCCTGCCTGTAAGTTTCTTTTCCCCACTGGCTCTGCTTTCCCCGCTCCAACAAATACACTTTCTGTCTCTACTTTGCTCCCGTACCTGCACTCTCTCATACATGACCACAGCATCTACGATGCTAACCAGATTTTGCAGCAAACATCTTTCCTCACACACCATTTTCAGCATGCCTCTTTTCCCTCTGCTGCCTTTCTCGCTTGCTGTGGTATTACTGTAAACTTCTGCCGTCACTTGATCATCCTGCTTCAAACTCCCCTTTGCTATAGTGTCTATAAAACCTCAGCAATGTTTAGATAAGTGATGTACCAAGACTATTACTCACTGCACAGGTCAGTATTATCTCATCAGTTCCTTGTGCTCCCCCATCTGCAGCCATCTGTTGTCTTGGGTTATAGAGAAACATGTTCTTCCTCACAAGGCCTTTTTGGTTTTTTTTTTCCCCATGTTCCTACAGCACCTGGCACAACAAGGTCTTGGATCCAAAGCTTAAGAGCCTCAACTGCTATAGCAATACAAACAACAAATGTGAAACAATGACTCACTCAGTTAAAATTGTTCAATGTTTAAGGCAGAACTGGTGAAAAACTTTTGCTTGCCAGGCCATGGAGGTTGGCCTGCAGTGGGAAACAGGAGATGTAAGTTCTTGTGCTACCTGTGCCCATGTTTCATGCTTTTGCTAAAATACTTCAATCTGGGGCTCTTCAGTTAAAGAAAGAATTTTCCCTAAACAAATCAGTGTAGTCACAAGTTCAGATTGTGACTGGGCCGGGACTGGACACAAGACAAAAATATTTTGAAAAGCTTACAATTGCTGAAGTACCCACCCAGGACTGCTGGGTTTGATTTGCAGGTCTCTACTTTCTCCCTGGCATGACATCTTCAAAAAGTAACACTTAAAACTAAAGTGTGATACCAGCTGGCTAGCAGGAGATCCTGTCCCACAGAGCAGCAGTCTGGCTTCAGTGAAACACACATTTCTCAGCTGCTGTCCAGACACAGGCGCTGACACTTCACTTAGTGAAGGTTACTGTGGCAGATGACAGTCTCCTGCAATGCAGGCTACTACGAGCACTTTGAACTGTACTTTTTTCCTACTGAATAGCAGCTCAAGCATAATGACCAGATACTTATCTTCCAAGGGGCTCACTGGCTGCAAGATACCTAAAAATAATTTGGAAAAAAAAAAAAAAAAAAAAAAAATCCTTATTAATCCAAGATGTCAACTGTGGTCAAACACTTCACAGTCACAGACCGATTTTGTGCTGCAAGAATAAAGCCTCTCTGTGCCTGAGACGGAGCTTTTGGGGAGGACAAGTGCAGAACAACTCCCACAGGAACTGATTTCAGTCTTTTCTCAGCTCTAGGCATCCTGCTGGGACCAATCTTCTCTAACTTGTAGACTGAGCACCACCTACGTTTACAAAACAAACCATTAGCACTGCAACTTCACGGACTATCCCAAGGTGCTCAACAACAGCAGGGGTAAGGGCTTTGTGATAGCCTGTCGAGACACTCACTGTGTAGCGCTGAATTTGCCTGCCTGCCCCTTGGAAGAAGGGGGGGGTGGGGGCGGTGGGGAACCAAAATAAATCCACATCTGCAGGGCAGAGAGGAATCATTCATTTCTCAGGCTAATTGTAAAGGGAAAAGATAGATACAAATAACTGTGAGAACTTCACCACAATCCTGGGACCCTGGCAAAGGGAAACTAGCCAGATGTCATGCTGGCAAAGCGATCAAAGGAGCGCAGTAAATGCAAGTCATCTGGTAATGGCAACGCAGCACTGACCAGCGGCCTGGACATAACAGAGAAACACAGCTAAAAATACATATAGTCACTGTTACCAACTCCAAGCATGAACAATTATTTTTTATCTAGACATTCATATACTGTTTACTGTGCTCTGCCATTCAAGACATTAAGCAAATGCACGCTACACAAATCTGACCTTTATTTGTACTTCATCTGCTATTAAAAACCGTATCTGTGATTTAATACACTGCTGTATCACACTGAGCATGTATAAATATATTCGAAAAGAGGGATGGGAGCTGACTCCGCTCCAATTTCATGGTACCCAGGGCAAAACCAGTCATTTTGTTCTGTGTGCATTCAGCACCTAGCACAATGGAGCCTCAGTCCAGGGCTGTGACTCCTATGCTCTACGATGCAAATAATCAATCATTTAACATTCCCAGACCTCTGCAAGACTTCCAGCATTTAAAAATAACTTCAAAATTCTGCCTAAGTCTCCAAAAGTGCCTAGGTCAGCTGGGGCTGTGGGCACTCATGAGTCTTTCAAAAAAAAAAAAAAAAAAAAAAATCCGTAGTGCTAATTCCTCATCTCCAACAAAAGCACACACACAGGAGGGGAAAAAAAAAGCAAGCCCAATAATCTGTCGAGCCCTTTTCCTTAGCCATTACAGGCAGAGCAGTAATGTCTGTAATGCTGTCCTTGTACGTGCTACCAAAGAACACAAGAGAGGCTTTGAAACGAGTCCCTTTGCAGTTAGCTTCACCCAGATCAGAGCTCTGGACAGCAAGCCTGAGTGCATTTATGCAGTTCACAGGCGCTGCCGGGGTCGACACCAGAAGAAGGCACAGAGCTGCTTAATTAATTGCTCCCTTTCTGGGACCGTATTTTGCTCTGCCTGGTCCTCTGGGAAAATCTGAGAGCTTAACGTGGAGGCCAAGAGAATACCCACAGCGCTCCCTCCGACACACTGAAACGCTGCAAAAGCCAGGGTCCCATCCTGCAAAACGCTGAGCTTGCTTGCCCCAGCCCAGCGAAGGGCTTAGCCACCTTCTAGGTACAGGCTCACAAGAGTCCCTTTGGACGCCAACAGCAGCTCTTGGATGCGTTGCTGGAGCACAGCCGTCCTCCGCACGGACGATCGCTTGGTGGAGACTCGTTCTTGCACAGGCTGCATTTGTGATCTCCACCCTACGAACACCCAGGAAGGGAGAAACTTTCCCCTTTTCACCCTTATTTTAGACGCTTCTAAAACCCTCTTCAGAAGCAGCTACCTCTCCCCCTTTGAGAGCTTTGCGCCACGCAGAATGAAAGCTCATTTCATTTGAACTCATTGACAATTCATTATTGAGGCGTGATAGAAACCAATAGAGAAGTATAAAGTATCTGTGCCCAAAGCTGCTTAAAATCATCTTTTTAATTAAACTCATGCAATGTTTGTAGGCCTGAGCATCTCTGCCTTACTGACAGTTTTTACACTGCAATCCAAATATAATTAATTGTGCCGATGGTTCCCAAGCCAGGAATGGATTGTGCTCCTTTTCTGAGCCAGGACACCATGCTACTACCGGGGTAATAAAGACTTATTTGTGCTGTCGAACCAAGCGGATATAACTCCGAGCAAGACTATTAATCGAGAAGATGCAATCCCTGCACAGTCAGCTTACAGCCCATGCCAAGGTCACACTACACGGTAGTGACACAGCTGGAGGCAGAAGCTGGTTGTTGTGACTCAGGGCTAAGCACTAAACCACACCAGTACAC